TGGACGGCGTGTGCATCACGAACGGCGTGGCTGTGGTGCTCGACGTTGCGGCGATGCTTCCCGGCGCGCTGCGCATTGAATTGAGGGACTGCGTGTGCGACGGCGGTGCGCAGATATACGTGCGGGGCTACAGCGGCGAGCCGGCGAGTGACCGGAGCCTGGAGGTGAGCGTGAGCGGGCTGTCCGGGAGCTACTGCTCGCTCGTGTTTGTGCACAACCTGCCGGCACACACGAACGTGACGGTCCGTGACTCGACGATTGTGACGCCGGGGCCGATGCGCTACTCCCAGCTGAGCGGGCTGACGGACGCGGTGGCGTCGCCGCTTGTGCTGCACGCGACGTCGCTGTTGCAGACGCAGCTGCGTGTGAGCAGCACCGTGCTGAGGTCGTCGCAGGCGGGCGGGTCGGCGGTGTACGTTGGCGGCGGTGTGGACCTGCTGTCGAGCGCTGTGGTGCTTGACGGCGTGTCGCTGGAGGCGTCGGGCGGTCCGACCGCGTCCGCGATGCATGTGTCGTCCTCGTCGCGTCTCAGTCTGCGTAACCACTCGGTGTTCTCCGTGACGAACGTGTCGGTTGTGAGCAGCGGCGGCGGCATTGTGCTTGGAGAGCGCCTTGCGGTGTCCGACTCGGTGCTGCGCTTCGTGGGCGTTGAGGGGTCTGCTGCGTCGCCGTTGGTGCACTGCGGCGGTGGGACGGTCGGTGCCGGCGGGTGGCTGGACCTGCACGACGTGTGGGCGGTGGGCGAGGCGTCGTCGGTGGCGTCGCTGTCAGGGGTGACGCTGAGCGGCGGCGCCGTGTCGATTGCTCGCTGCGCTGCCACCGGCGCGACGCTTGCCGCCGGGCCGACGATCACGAGCGGCGCTGTGTCCGTGCAGTGCAACCGTGCCGGCGGCCGCGTGCTGCAGAGCAGCGGCGACTACCGCTTGGCCGGCCTGCCCTCCGTGAGCGTGGTGCCGTGCGACGGCTGTGCGGCTGCGCTGGCGTGCTTCGATGCACTGACGGCGTCGTTCTCCGACTGCGTGTGCAGCTGCCGTGCCGGCGGCGTGGGCGAGGCGTGCCTGCCGTTCGACGTGCCGCCTGCGAGTTCCGGTGGTGGCGGTGGGCAGGACTGCGTGAGTGGCGTGACGCTGACGGAGTCCGTGACGGTTGGCGGCGGTCAGGCGACGACGTGCTTCGACTCGGTGGTGTTCAGCGGACCGATCACTGTGGCGGTGGACCTGCGCTCGATGGATGCGTTCGCTGACGCGCTGAACGTGACGCTTCGCCACTGCGTGCTTGTGGGCGGCGCGCAGCTGCGGATTGGTGGCCTCAGCGAGAGCACAGCGCACCTGGTGCCGCACGTCCTCGTCAACATGACGAATGTGACGTCGCTGGAGGGCACGATCGTGCTGCATGGCACGATGCCGCTGAACTCGAGTGTGCTGCTGGCGAACTCGACCCTGCGCGCGACGGTTGGCGGGTCGCAGTACGTGCCGACGACTCCTGGCCACGAGAAATCCCGGCACGGCTCCGCGCTTGTCCTGGACGGCGTCTGTCTTCTGTCGACGCGGTTTGTCATGACGCGGTCGACTCTGGTGTGTGGCGGGGGTTCGTGCGCTGCGATACTTGTGGAGCGCGGCCTTGTCGTGAACCTGTCCAGCGTCTTCTACATGGACAACTGCGCTGTCATGTCGCAGATGCACGTGATGTATGCTATTGCGTCGGACCTGCGTGTTAGCGGCGGCTCCGTGTTCTCCATACAGAACAGCTCGTGGAGTGCGCCGAGTACCGAATACTACAAAGGCGCGTGTGTGTTTGGGGACGTTGTGGTGGATGGCGGCAGCGTGCTGCAGGTTGTGTCCAGCGAGTTCCGTCTTGGCTTTGCCATGCTCATTGCAACCACGCTGACCGTGACTGACGGCAGTTGGCTGGTGCACCGCGACAACGCGTTCCGCACCGCCTACGTTGTGTACGTGGCTAAATACGACGGCGTGGCGTTCCGCGATCAGAGTGTGTGGTCGATACTTCACAACGACTTTGGTTACGGCTCCTATTCGTCGACCACTGCATACATGACAAGTTTTTGGTTTGCAAAATACGACGAACTCCCGATCATCTACGGCACGTGCAACGAGGTAAAGAGATCTCCTGTGACCAATTACAGAAACGAACTCAATATTGTGGCGCCCGTGACGGTGTTGGACTGTGGCACTTGCACCGTGGACGCCTTGTGCTTCGCAGCGAGGACGAGCAGCATCAGCGGCTGTGGGTGTGTGTGCGCTTCCGACGGCTACGGCGACAAGTGTCTGCCAGCTGCGGTTCCGGACGGCCTTGGACCGTTCCCGCTCCCCGACGCGGACGATACGGAGGTCCGCTGTGTTTACGGTGGCAGCATCAGCTCCGTGGACTATCCTGATCCCGGTGAGCGTGGCCTGTGCTTTGTCAACGTGACCTTCACCGCCGCGATTTTGCTGGAACTGTCGTATTTTGACGCTCCACAGCATACACTCAACATCACGCTGCTGCAGTGCATCCTCATGGGCCTGTCGATCAAGGGGAGTGGTGCGCGCGTGCACGTGAACGTGACATCCTCGATGCTGGATTCTGGTGCATTGGACTTTGAGGGTGATTTTGGCGCGAGCTCCCAGATACTGGTGGCGGGCAGTAAGCTCTTGTCAACTTCGAGCCATGCCATTCACTTCCCAAGGTTTACTTTTGGTGCGAACTCGACGCTGCTGCTGCTCGACAACAACATGGAGGGGGAGAGTTCCGCAGTTTATTTCCCCGTTGCTGTTGTTGTTGATGGGGGCGGGATCATTATGAAGGGAAATATGCTGAAGTCAACAAAGAGGGATTACAGCTCGGAGTCTGCCGTTTATTATAACGGTGTTGATGTGAAGAACGGCGGCTATATTGACGTCGAGAACAACACGATTAGTGCAGCCAGCGGCATCTTTTTTTTCGGGGATACTACTGTGAGCTCCGCGGGGCTGCTGAGAGTGGCGGACTGCACCTTCACTGACAACACGGAGGCATTCAATTCTGCTCTGGTGCAGTTGTACGGCTCGGCCATTCTTCAGGGTGGTGCGCAGTGGCGTGTGGAGGGCAACAACGTGAGCGCAGCCTCAGTATTCATTATGCCGTCTTTCTGGTACAGTATTAAACTATCGGGCAGCGGCACCACCTTGGTGCTTGCACACAACCGTCAGGCGGACTCGAGTAAAACCTTTGCGAAAATTACTCCATCGAACTCGATTCTGACGTCACCCGCGCGGTTTGTGGTTGGGTGCAACATGCAGGGCGAGAAGGAGGTGTCGTACGACGGCGTGTTTCCGGAGGACGTGGTGGTGTTCGGGTGTGGCACGTGCAACGACGACGCGGCGTGCTACATGCCCGGGACGGAGTCGGTGGACCGCAGCTCGTGCTCGTGCAGCTGCAAGGGCGGATGGCATGGCGCGTCGTGTCTTCCCTTCGAGGTGCCCGACACGGTTGTGCCGCCCTTGCCGGAGAGATTTGTGGACGGCGACACGAGCTGCGTGGTGAACCAGACGCTGACGAGCCTCGCGCTGAACATGTGGAAGACGCACCACTGCTACGTGGGTGTGACATTCAGCGGCGTGGGTGCTGCGCTCACGTTCCTTTTCAATCGTATGCCGCTGCATCTCCCCATCAACATCACGCTCACTGGGTGCACATTCCGTGACGGAGCCTTGCTGCAGTTTGTTGGGGGCACTGAGGCGGCCGAGTCAGCCGGCGTCCTGATCCGCGTGAGCCAGACGGTGATGCGGTCCTCCGTTGTTCTATTTAGGCGTGCCCTCCCGCAGCACTGCGACATCGCTGTCACTGAAGTCGACGCGGAGCAGTTATCCGCGGTCCAGTTGCCGAATTCTGTGAACATGTTGAGCGTCGTGATGCTGGACGACGTTGCGTTGAGTGCGTCCTCGCTGTTGGTCAGCAACGTCAAGGCGCGTGCATTGGATCATAGCGGGTATGGTTTGTACTCGATCGGGACGCTGACGCTGGTGGGTGGCAGCTCGCTGTACACGCGGTACTGCAGCTTTGATAAATACACAAACATGTTGCACATGTATAGGCTCATTGCCAGTGATCGCTCAGTTTTTGCGCTGCTCAACAATACGATGGTCTCCGGGACAAGTTTCCTTTATCAGTACCACGACCTCACCGTGTCGAATCACAGCGTGCTGCGCGTGGTAGGGAACAGCGGCTCTTTGATTTTTGCAATCCTATTATATGATTCTTGGACCGTCCGGAATTCAAGCTGGCTGGATTGGCGCGACAACGACGTGGGAGTGGGTGCGATGTTCTACTACTTTTCCTTTTACGGTTCTGTGAACATCGATGGCAGCAGTGTGGTGACGCTGACGGGCTGCAAGATGGGCTCAACGGGGTTGTATAAGTCTCCGCTATCGCAGGTTGACGCCGGCTACGGGTTCGTCGCTGGGTGTCTGACGGTTGCGGGACGGGTGCTGACGACGGCGGCAGAACTGGAGCTGAATGGCATCACCAACGTGACGACGGTTTTCGCGTGCGGGGAGTGCACGAAGGAGGGCGACTGCTTTGCTCCGCTGACGACGGCGGTCAGCGACTGCAAGTGCCAGTGCGCTGCTGGAGGGCACGGCGATGTGTGCGTCCCGGCGCCTGTGCCTGCTGGCCCGCCACCGCCGCCACCGCCGCCCGCACCACCGTTACCGCCGCCGGGTTGGCGAGTGCATCAGCGACATCGTGTACCCCGAGGTGGCGCAGTCTGTGGGCAGCGGGCTGTCGTGGCTGTGCTACCGCAACGTGACGTTCAGTGGGGGTGGCATGAGCCTGACGGTGCTGATTGGGGGGATGACGGGCGACGTGGCGAACATCACGTTCGATGGATGCAAGTGGAGGGACGGCGCTGTGC